ATAGATAGATAGATAGATAGATAGATAGATAGATAGATAGATAGATAGATAGATAGATAGATAGATAGATAGATAGATAGATAGATCTATCTATCTATAGATCTGTCTGTCTGTCTATGTTGTGACTTAGTTCAGGATAATATGACACATTGTTTTCTCCCCTGACATGGTGCTGACAGAAATGAGAGACAGAATGACCATAACCAAAATAACATCACAATTTCACAATGTCTCTATGTATGAATCATGGGATAGATGACATTGTCACAGTAAAGGAGAGCAACTTAACCGAAAGACTGCTGCAACCTTATGTGCACAATGTAGTGTTATCACAGATCTTTTCCCCCAGCTGTTTTACACTTCTTAGTCTTCCCCTGCTCTCACAATTCCTAATAAGTGTAAATTTCACATTTCTTTAATCCAATTATTAATGTTTTTACGCCCACACCTTTATTTTCAGTTTTTATCTATGCTGTAAGACTTTTTGTACATAATTACTTGTATTTGCTCTGTTTACCTGCTTTTTACAGTTCTTGCTCCAAAACATTGACATCGAAATGCTATTTTACACAGTTTTTGTGTTGTGTTTATTATTAATAAATTGTTTTATTTCTAATCTTGAAACTTTTTCAAATTTTCTGATTATGCATTTTTTTAACTGAATGCACAGTGTTCTCTTTCATGAGGTCTGATTATGTCCTTTGCTGTACAGTTTAATTTAGCTCTTTGTTCGTTTTCAATGCAGTTTAAATCTGTGATGATAAATCTGTACGCATGATTCAAAGTGCTCTGGATTAAAGGCAATTTAAAAACTAATGTCACTACATTATAATTTTAGGAAGACTCCTAACATTATTTTAACTGGCAGTCTTTGAGCAATTTCTAATTTAAAGAATCAGTTTAGATTTTTTTTTTTTAAAACACTCTTTATCACTGAGGAATTAAACACAAGGCAAAAGTTTTTGCTCAGAAGGACCTTAAACAAGTAAAGAAATATAGCTTTGTCTTATTGTTTTTTTACATACAAGTTCAACATGGTTTTCCCAACAAAAAAACTAGTCAGTCATGAGTTTTTATAGTACGATACCTGATAGATTTCCTCATAATAGATAGGGAGTTTGTGAAAACTAGATAGTGATCTGAAAACGACTCTCTGTTTTAGAAGGAAAACAAAACATGATTGAAGAGGCAAATTATCAATGTCTTATTCTTTAAATCTAAAGAGCTTTTTCAATTTTATATCTGAGCCACATCTCTTCTGTTATTTCTGCTCACTTGCTACATCTGTCCCCTAGGGGGACCACTGGAAGAATGGCTGAGAACAGACTGTACTTATTAAGAAATGCCAGCTTGGACTGTCATATTTGGATGGAGGTAAAGTCCCATTTTAGACAAACAAACAGACATTTTTGAGCTTCATGATAAATGCTGAGTTTAGCCATTTATCTGTTTCTATAGAGGCTTCATTGTTTATATGGGGCATCTAACAGTACAAAACCCCTCCAAAACATCCATATGGTGAATACAGTGACAGTAGGACCAATAAAGCTCACATTTTAGTGCTCTATAGCCTGGCAGACAGTAATAAATTCTGTAAAAAAACAAACAAAAATAAAAAACAAGAACAACAAACAAGCATCACTTGCTCAACAAACCAGTTTTCTATTGCATTTTACCAGACGATGAGGAATGGAAAAGGGTCAGTGATTTATCTACTATGATGCAGCAGATTGGAGAATAGGGTGCAATATTCCAAATCCCTCTGCTGCAGGAAGGCTGTTTAGAAGAGGCTCAATTGGGACAGAACATATCTGGTATTTGGCACCAACGCTCCGGAGGAGGCATCAATATTTCTGTAAGTGCGGCATGAGGTGTCAGAGGAAGGCTTTGATTGCACAAAGTGGTTCTAGGCAGAGTATTGGAAACCAGCAAGAATCCAACATGGGGATGAAAGGAGTTAAAGCCACAAGCCACTACAAGGCTTGGCCTACTTAGTCTGAACATCCTCAGCAGTATGGTGAAGGATTAGGAAGGCTGCAAACTGCTAGCTAAGCCCACGGGTTATCTGTTGCTCAGAGGATGCTCCTTGCTGGAATCATCACAGCATGGCTTTACATCATGCCTGGGAAATGATGCTGATATTGGTACCAAAGCTTTGCAATTTAGAGCAAATCAAACAATTTAACACAGGCTAAGTTTGATCATTTGTAGTTTAGTAATAATAATAATAATAATAATAATAATAATAATAATAATAATAATAATAATAATAATAATAATAATAATAATAATAATAATAATAATAATAANTAATAATAATAATAATAATAATAATAATAATAATAATAATAATAATAATAATAATAATAATAATAATAATAATAATAATAATAATAATAATTACAATGTATTAATAATAAATTAATAATAGTAATAACAATAATAGTAATAACAATTTCCATGGTTGCTTGTGAGGATGAAATTGCCCACCTCTGTTGAATGTAGCGACTAAAACCTGACCCTGCTTAAGATCCTAAAGTCATAGGAAGTTAAGGGTTTTCCACCTGCCAGGGCTCATTAGCTCCCTGAAAACTGCAAACAAATATATTCAATCAATTCAAAAATACTTTATTAATCCTAAAGGGAAATTAAATGTTGAAGCAACTAATACGTTTTTTTTAAACCAGTTGTTATAGGTGTTAATAGCTGTAGGCAGGAAGGATCTTCTGTATCTGTCTGTCTTGTTCTTCAGTAATTTTCTGAAGAGGAAGCTCACATAATGCCCATAATGTTCTTCACTTTCTGAAGAATAATCTTTTTTGAAATCATATCCAGAGGTTTTAGTGGAGTTCCTAGAACAGATCCGTCCTTTTTTTAGTTTGATGAGCTTCTTTAAGCGCTTTGCTATGATGCTGTCACCCCAGCAGATGATGGCAGATGATTTGTGATTTTTTGTGATGTTATGATCATAACAGGAGTTTGATCCTTTTTGTTCTTGAGTTTAGTGATGAGGTATTTCTTTTTATTGCTTAGTGTAATGGAAGGTGTTTTTGTTTTGAAATATACAGTTAAACCAGAGGACCATGGAGAGAGCATGAAGGATCAGAGTGCAGATATGAACCATAGAGAGATACTAAAATCACAATATGCATTATTCTTTGGCAAACTGATATTTCAGTCTTATATGGTTATTGTCCTCCTTACTGGACATGTGAAAAAAAACAACATAGTTAATAAATTAATTTGTGTTTTTGTTTCACTCTGAAAATGAATGAAAGCCATTAGTAAAAAATAATAAGTCCTCTTACTAGCTATATTAGAATAAAAAAGGAACATAATTGATTGTACCAAAGTGAGGAAAGTAGATGTTATACAATAAGTTACATTATTCTTCAAAAAAATAATCACCTCACTTATTAAGTTAAATTAAAATAAATTCTGTTTATATATATATATATATATATATATATATATATATATATATA